ACTCTACTGAGGTTATCATTAAAATAAAAGGCGATTTTCAACCATCAGCCATGTATCACTGTAAAATGCCCTGTAGGTAACCTTTGATACAACTCATTTGAAATATACCTGCATGGATTCATAGCCTTTGGTCAGGCTAGTAGGGGGGCGAAAGATCTTTTCTTTTCCTTCATTTCTTACAATATTGGTCCCTCTCTAAATGTTTGGACAGATTTGATGTATATAAATTGGCGTGTTTTAAGTTAAAACAAATCCAATCAAATAATAGTATTGAGAAAGTTGAACTATTTACTGCCCTTACATTTATGAATACATGTGGAATTGTAGCTACATTGTGAAAACAATTCATAATTTAGAATTAAAAGAATTTTGCAAGAGTCTAGACAAACATTACTCAACTGAGCTCTGCCTAATCCCTATCATAATTGGGTATAACAATTTCTTCAGAATTAAGCATATACAACTTAATTCCAGGCGTTACTCTGAAAAAACTATTGCCTATTCAAGGTGTTACTCTGATTTTTCAAAAAACTGTTGTCTAGCAATCCTTTTGCCTGTTGGCATTTAGATGATAGGTAGGCAGCTCTGAAAATGCCGAGGTCTAAACTCAGTGACTTGGGATCAAGTCCCAAAGTTATAGAGGTATGACTCTAGGCAGGTCTCTGAGTATCTCTAAACTCAGTCTATAATGTGGGACTGAAGGTATCTCATTTTCTTGTTATAATAATAAATAACACATGATGAAGCTTTTTAACTTGTAAAATAAAATTTACATGTGGCAAAGGAGATGGGTATCAGAAAATCAGTATTAAAATGTTCAAATAGAAAAATATTCAAATTATTAGATTTTAGATTACTAAATTTATTAAATGTACTTTTCTATGTTTTATAATATTTAACTGACTACTAAATAGTTATACAGCCAGACGTGTATAGGATTATGAACATGTATTTCTTCTTTGGAAACTAACCATTCTCATGATGAAATCAGCATTTCTTTTGGCATTAAATTACCAGGTTAAAAAGTATATAATTCTTCTAGTTGATTAGACATATCCCATGCCATTTCTTTCTTTATTTTTATTTATACAAGCATTGGATACAGTCAGAAACGTAGGAGGGTGAGAGAATTCACCAGAGCCAGAGTGGAGAGCAGAACAGGCAGACTGACGAAATACACTGCTGAGGGGAGCAGCGGGCGGCAGGAGAGGTCTGTGCACCATGTGGGACCCTTGCCTGGTGGCCAGGATCGAACCGGCGCTGCAGAGGCTGTGCAACCCAGTGCTCAACCACTGCACCACTGGGGAGGTCCCCATGCCATGTCTTTTACTCACTTGTTTGTTAGTAGGTTAATTTTGTGAGGAGAAAGTAAAAAAAAAAAAGTGTAAGTTATTCATATTTGGGAAATAACTGCTTTTGGTGGATATCTTGATAGGGAAAATATTTAAGTCATTTTTAGTAAAAGTCATCTAATCCCAAGTAACAAATTTTATAAAATTTAATGCTCCAAGAACTGATAACCTTAATAACTTTTTTGTGTTTTCAGATACTTTTGGAAAAATGTGGTGTGAGTATCCACAGAATAAGGGAATTAGAACTTTGTATAAAGTTCTGAAATTGCAGTTCAATTCAAACTCTAGGATCCAAAATCCAGATCTTAGTCCTAGACTATTGAATCAGCTGCATTTGTAACACAGAATTTGGTCTAAATATTCCAGACTAAATGAAATACAATTATCTTCCAAAAGAACTTCCTTCATGACACTCTTTTAAATTAAACTCAATATTTATTTAAGTATTGAGATTTTCTAGCAAGTTGCATAGCTTTAAACAGGTCTAACATTTAGTGTCTGAGTAGTGCTTACCAACTGGAATATAAATTCTTTGTATAGCCCTGGGAATAATGTCTAAAAGATTCAGTGGAACAAAATTAAAGAACGAATTTAACATATGAGGACAAAAGTAAGAGCAGGACAGGCAGGAAGTCCTCTAACTTTATATCAGAAAGGAAAACTGCTGACACTGCTCTTACTCTGAAGGGTGAGGATTAGACTTGGTTAAAGTGAGAGGGAGTGAGAGAAGTAAGTTTTGCATTTAAATTTTATTTTTACTTTTACTTATCTTTGGACTTTTTACCCTTTGTCTTCAATGACTGCCCCTCTATGTCTGAATGAATGGAGTGAAGAGAGTTGTAGTTTGGACACACTAGACTTGGAAAGTTCCAAGTTCAATTAATAGGAAGCCTGTCGCTAAGGAGTTCTTGACAATGGCTCTGTTAGCTGACATCTTTGAGTGGAAAGCAGTGAGTCCCAGAGATGTCAAACCTTCAGCTCAAAAGGAAAGCAAGAAGAAAAGGCAACAAAGCTCTGAAGACTGGGAACAATGATGAAATTCAAGTCGTAAAAAGAATTCATTTAACGAGATTGAAATGTTGGAGAGAGATGTTACCATAGTGCATATGCGCCTGTGCTGTTACTCATGAGGCAGAGCAGCATTTGCATTGTATGTAGATGTAAAGAAATTTTAAGACACATTATGAAAAAGCAATAGAAAGGATTTATAATTTATCAAGGGTTAGTTTTTGATTAAATTTCACTATTTATGTAATGAACATATACTAGTTAATGTAATTTTTTATTCAAGGCATATAGGGGATAAGTTAGACCTTGGTATATAAAGTAGACAAGTAATATACTAAAGCCTATTCTCAAAAAGTTGAACCACAGGAGTGAGAGCAGAGCATGAGTAAAGAGTAAAGGCTTCTTGAGTATTTTAAAATCTGACTATTTTGCTAACAACAATTCAGGAAAATGACTAATACAATAAAATGAAATACAATGTTGTACTTATTACATTTAATAGTAATACCTTAGTTTTCCCTAATCTTATCCCGTGTTGTGTCTCATTCACATTCAAATCCATTATAAATGCGCACGCAGATGTCTATTCTTCTCTGAGGTTCTCTGCCTTAGACAATGTGGCCTTTACTCAGGATTCCTAAATACACACTGATACACCAATGTACTGTCATTCTGTCATTAATCATTAATAAGTCACAGTGAGTGCATCAGACTAGTGGGGATTAGTGTCCATTAGAACGTGCACATGCTTGTGTGTGGGCATTAAAAATAAGGCATTTGATTTAATTAATCAGAATTAGTATTAAATGACTTATGTAGGATTATAGCTCTATTACTTCTCCTTTCTCCCAGTATAAAGCTATCTGAAGATGGTCTATCTACTTAGAATCAAGCCATTCTTGTCCTAGAATCTAGAAAAACGTTAATCCCTAAAAGAACTTTAGATGTTTTTTGCAAAAGAGTTTTTATAATCCTGAAGACCTTTTGAAGTATTTGATTTTGATTGTTTTGTTTCAAAATAAATTCATTCTTTTAACATTTTCATGAGTGTTATCCACAAATAACTGGCTTCCATGTGACTCCAGTGGTACAAAGTCTGCACTCTTTTGTATTGATTGTGTTTGTATTGTTCTGCCACCCTGTGATATTAATTCCTTTTGTAGATTTGTGTAGAAAGGTTGCTGAGCTCATTTTTATACATTCAGGTGCATGTAGATGTGTCATCCCCAACATAACAGTGGTAGTAGAATGTGATCCACGTGACCTTTTTACCTTAGAGCTTGCTTAGCAAGGCTGCATTGCTCTGATAGCTCCTACTTCTTTTTTTTTTTTCAAATCTATTCCATCACTTGATAACTTTGTATTTGTTCATTGTTCTTTCCACATAGCCTCGAGTGAAACTAATAGGAAAGTAACAGTGACAAGTGCTTTTTAATTATGAATCAGGTGAAGCCAAGAAAACATGTTCTTGAACATGGATTGACCATCTCTTTAATTTCTCTAAAGCAATTTCTTAAAGCTTCTGGATTACATGCAGAGGTTAATAAGAAGAGCTGGTTTGATTATTAACATTAATTCTTACTACTCTATGCTTTCTTTTGCTTCTTGGCAGTAGAACTATAACTCATTAAAAGTAATAGCATTAATTCAGATGTATTGGACACCGTAAGACAAAATAACCATTATTAATAGGAATTTTAAGCTGACTAGAGATCAGAGATTGCATAGTTGAATCTGTAATACTATATATCTTATAGTAGCTAATGTGTAACTATTCACATCAAATATTGTTGACTCTTGTATTCCTCTTATTTTCCCTCTTTTCAAGTATATTTAGAAAAATTTATTCTGCAGAATTTTTGTGAGTGGGTTTTCACTTGGTATTATGAGCTTCTAAAGATCTTCTCATGACATTCTTCTAAGTAAATATATAGAAACTTTATTTATACAGTATATTTTTAGAACATGTTGCAAATGCAAAGTAGAGGTTAGAGAGTTAACTTAAAATTAAAGTCTCAAAAGCTAAGGGGCCTCCCTGGTGGTGCAAGGGGTTAAGCACAGCACTGTGAAGCAATCTGCAGCCTCTGCAGCATAAATTTAATCCCCCCACCAGCCAGGGAGCAACCCCCAAGATGCAGCCGACCTCTCCTGTCTTGCCCGCTGCTCCACTCAGCAGTGTATTTCAGTCAATCTGCCTGTTCTGCTCCCCACTCTGTCTCTGGTGAATCCTCTCACCCTCTTCTGCATCTCTGGTCTGTACCCCAGCTCTTGTATGCATAAATAAATCTTAAAAAAAGCTAAGTTTTAAGATGTTAATTAGAAGGAAGAAGAAATATTGAAAAAGGAAAAACAGTGAAAAAAAGAATGACATCTAGCTTTGTGGAAGTACTACAAATAAAACTGAGAATGATTCATGAATGTGTTCATGCATTAGGTTAAATAAAGAGAAACAAGTATTTTCTTAGGAGTCAGAATGAGATTGTAATTTAAAAAAAATGCTTTGGAATCACATACGAACTTTATATTTGGCTATACTTCTGTTATAAAGTATGGGTTAATTATTGCTGCTTAACAAATCTCCCCAGGTTTAGTTATTTTAGACAATAAGCACTTATCTCACAGTTTCTGGGGTCAGCTCACCTGGGGTTGCAGTCATTCAGAAACTTGATGGTGCTTGCTATCCATTTCCAAAGTGGCTCTCCCATAAGTAAAAGTCAGTGTTGACCGTGGGCAGGAGGCCACAGTGCCTTGGCAGGCGGACTCTTCCATGACTGTTTGCATGTCCTCACCACATGGCAATTGTCGTCCTTGGGGGTGATCTTGTCCCCCAGGAAACTTTCAGCTCTGTCTAGAGATGCTTTTGGTTGCTGCCACTGTGTGGGAGTGCTACAAACCTCTAGTGATTAGAGATCAGGGTACTGATCTCCTGAACATCCTTGGATGTGATCCTCACAGTGAAGAGTTATAAGAGTTATCCTGCTCCAAATGTCAGTAGTTGGGAGGGTGAGAGGCCCTGCCCCAGTGCATGTTATTCAAGGAGAAGGAAGGTAGCAGGCTCAAGCCTTTGAGTATCTTTGAGTCAGACTGTCATTTCTGCAACATTCTGTTGGTCATAATAGATCCAGGCAGGGGAAGAATGACTGAAGGCCTCCTGGACACTGGCTATCACAAAGGATTGTATGTGTGGAAAGAAAAGTAGCGTTTGCTTTAGGTATTTCAGAGCAGTTTCTTTAAAAAAATGAGTGTAAAATATTATTGATATCCCAGAAGCTGCATTCTTTATTTTTTCCCTCTATTTGTTTTCAAATATATATGTCTTTGTATGTGTATAATTTATATATTGGGGCAATGAATCAACAAAGTCTAAAACAAGAAAAGCACTCCATTAAAGTATTAACAGAGACAGAACAGGGGATATTTTAAACAACAAATTAATGACTACTATGTGAACACCTTAAAATTAATTAAAGGCCAATAATTTAAATGTAAAAGCAGTGTTTAATTACCACATTGAAGCAAAAGCCCCCCAGCTACACTGCTAGTACCCTTAAAAGAAGCAGACAAAGACATTAAACAAAAGTGTAAAATGGCAAAATAAGGAATCAGATGAGAAACTAGAACATGTTACCCTCAGCCAAGTAACTGCAGACTTGCATTTAAGTGGCAATCAAGTGTAATTGTAGCAATAACACACAGCGAAAGCACACCTAGCAAGGAGTTCCTGGAGCTTTCCCTGCCTGGCTAAGGAGATGTCTCACAATGTCTTAGTCCACCAGTGAGCATGTGGTTATGACAGGGGCTTCAGGCCCTCATAATCTGTAAGGTGAGGGACTTTTAGGTAACAGGAACCTTCTGATGAGGTATGGAGTCAAGGTGGCTGAATGAATAGAATCCCTAATTCTTCAGAGGATCAGAAAATAATTTTAAGATCATGAATTAATTGATTTTGCGCTGCTTTGAATGGCTGTTGCACATAAATGTAACCCCCTCCTCATATAAATTCTTCATGAAGGAAATACACTCATCTCTTCAGAGATCCTTGTAAAATTTGTTTTTCTCTCTAGTAAGCTTCTGCTGAACTTTAGTAAGATGTGCCTCCTTCAGTGGTGACCGTGGGCGAGGGTTTCCACAGTGAATAATAAAGCTAGAGGAAAGGGGAAAGATAGGGTGAACATGTGCTAAGGAGGAGAGGTGCGGCAGGAGCATAGACTGTGCGTTTCAGCTCATCATGTCACTTCTCTACTTAATACGATTACTTCATCAGAGAGGATAATAGCAGCAGCGTGATTAATTTTGCAGCATGTTTCATAAATGCCTTTACTCTTCCCCATATGTTGTTATCACTCCTTACTTCACATGAGTATTTATCATAAATAAGGGGACAGTCACAATTTTCAAATTGTATAGCAAATGTACCCTGAAAATATGTATATGTTTGTATATTTATAATTGAAACAATATATTAAATGCATAGACATACTGTCTTCAGAGAATTCAGTATAAATAAAACACAGTTCCACATACATCTATACCTAGGACTTAAATAAGATGGCAGTGTACTTCTTTTGTCCTTTACTACTGACTACCCAAAACAAAGCCTCAGAGATGCAGGCGATGTCAGTTTATATGCATTTTTCTAATGCTAAACACACAACAGCCATTAATAAATAGTGGAAATTCCATTCAATAAATAAGGAATGTGTGGATGATTGCATGCATTTCTATTTTCTTGTCCACTGACATTAACTGCCAAATACATGTTTGATTTTCAGTGACTGCTTTAGGTCAACATTTAAGTAAGTAATGTTTTGTGATGACTGTGATATGACATGAACAAGGTCACCAGTCATACAATGAGAATGTATGACTGTTCAAGGGCCCACATGTAGGTCTCTTTCCATGTTGTAAAGAACAAGGACCCAGATGGGGAAAAAGGCATCGATGTCTTTAGGGTTCTGGCATCTGTGTCTTCTGATTGTTTATTAAAATTCCATACCAAAGAACTACAGGAAGGCGAAGGATTTGGGGGAGGGAAATCACCCTCCAGGACTCCAGAGAATGATTTTTCTTTGATAAATTACATTCAATTTATATACTTTAAATTTCTATATTTTAAGACCAAATATTTTGGTCTCTGCACCTTCTGAAATTATGACGATTGTACAGTTACATTAGAGTGAAATGATTTTTGCTAGAATAGACTCATTATTTAAAAACAACCTAGGGCCTCCCTGCTGGCACAGGCGATTGAGCGCCACACTGTGAAGCTGTCCACAGCCTCTGCAGCATGGGTTCGATCCCTGCCGGCTGGTGAGAATCCCACATGGCGAGGCAGACCTCTCCTGTCTCGCCCGCTGCTCCCCTCTGCAATGTATTTTGTCAGTCTGCCTGTTCTGTTCCCTACTCTGTCTCTGGTGATTCCACTCACCCTCCCGTGCATCTGGCCTGTACCCCAGTTCTTATATAAATAATAAATCTTTTAAAAAAATAAAAGCAACCTAATTGAAATACATTTTAAAATAACTATTTTAAGTGTTTGTCAGTGTGGTACCACTTCTCTGTTCATGATGACAAAGGCTATTTTTTTATTGCATCTGGGCCTACATATTTGCATCAAGTTCTTTTGCTTGTGCATTTACTATTACTTTGTGTGGGGGATTCTCATTGTCTGGGATACAAATTTATTAGTACCCCTGCAAGATTTCTAGTACCACAAGCTGATGTACTAGACTACAAACTGATGTTAAGTTGCTTGCTTTCAGATAAGTCATAATAGCTATAGTGATAAAGGCTGCCTGGACTATAGGTATGTTTGGATTATTTTACATTCTATTTGAGACAATTAAGATGAGACAGTTACTTCATTAGGAGAAATTATAATCATGAATAGGGTCCTAAAACATATGCTTGAATGTGTAATAGTATACCTCTTGCACATTATTGTTTGAATTATATTTTCTGGCATTATTGTACATGAACCCTTGATATTATTCTCAAATAATATTCTAACAACTCCTTAGTATTGTCAAAGGAAATTTTCAATGCTATGTAGTGATAACAGAGAAGCATAAAATATCACCAAAATATGTCATCAATTTTGTACCTTACCTTTAATGTATAAGATAGAAAATGTGTCTATAGAATTATATGGCTAGGTCTCAGTTTCAGAAAATACATTTCATCAATGTCTTTTTAATTTTGTCATATAAATGGAAAGTGTATGTATGTTGAGTCCAAAAATTGGGTTTCATTAGAACTTTTCTAAGGCTTAGTTTCCCCTGTGAGGTTATTATTATACCAATGTATTGAAGATTTTAAGAAATGCTTGAAATATTTATAATGAATTCTTTAAATGTCAGTAATGTCCTTCTATTAGTCAAAACATGCTTACATGTTAATTAAATGCTTGCTTCATATTTATCACAATTTTGGAACTAAACAGATATGTAAAATTCCTCTTAAAGTTCACTTTCTGTATTAATGAGATAATTATGAAGTATGTTATTGTCAAATATTTCATTTGGTAGTGTCATTTAACAATTGGACAAATAATTAAAAGGAAATTGGCTTCCTCACTGGTTGGTGGTGTACTTGATAAGAATTATATTTTCTATTGCTTTCTTCACCTTGAAAATTATTACATTTATATATATATGAATTATTTATAGTTTTAAAATGTATGTTTTATTGGTAAGAATAGTGGTTAATTATGCTAAGCTTTACAATTTATCCTAAATAAGAAACTGGAACTGAAAATAAAAAGTAGATAAAAACAACTTTACTGTTTGGTGCAAGTATTCATGATTGTAAGAATGCATGTCATAAATAAGCAGTCTACCTCCATATTTTATAGTGAGGGTTTTAAAATTTTCTAGTCAAATGAAAAGTAATTAATGGAAAAGGGAAACTGATGTGATTAGTTAATTGTATACTTTATGAATAATCTGCATTTGGTGTAGTAAATTATTAAAAGAGCCAAATTGTGAAGTAATATAATGAGTCAAAATTGTTTATATAGTTACCAGCATAAGAGTCAGGCATGTGGGTTTTTAATCAATCTACTGTTAGCCCAGTCACACAATGAAAGAGAATAAAAGGGCAATTTTTTTTTTCATTTTATATATTTTTACATCATTTTTCATTTTTGCACAATGTATGCATTTTCATCTTGGTTATAGTCCCCACACAAGCAACTATAAACCAGAGACACATGGCGGGGGCAGGGGGAGAGAAGGGAGTAGGAAAGGGCAATTTTGAAGGACATTTCTATCAACTTTGGAACTGTCAACCTCGGTTCTGTCCTAGGGGCTTTGCACTTTTTGGTTTTCAGACATTTGTGCTGAATGGGAAATATTAATAGTTCCGATGGTTCTCTTGGTCTCTTAAAAGCTTCGGGTAGTCATTTCCCAGTGTGTGTGTGTGTGTGTGTATAGTAGCTTAGTGCTGAAAGCTAAACACACCTCACTCCTCAGCACCCACATCAGCATCATCTTCATCAACATCTCCACACCCACATCCTCACATTCTAACCTCTGTGCTCATAAATCTCTTTGTTGCAACTCTGTGTATGTATTCTTTCTTTTATTTCTGCATCTATAATTTCTCCAAGTAGCCCCCAACGACTTTTTCAAGAGTTGTGACACTGTCCAAGATGGTAAGCAGGTAAAACATTTAATGGGGGGGAAGCACCTAGAATGTCTATAGCTGCATAGCAGTCAGTAAAGCTTCTGACAGGGTATTTATTTAAGCTGAATTGATGGGGAGAAAATGTGGGTTCTAATCCTTATTTGCCCATGTAGTCTCAGTGGCTTTTATAGTTTATTGTGTTTGTGACATTTCATTTATTATTAGCATATACTATCTTCTGAAAAAAAAATTGAAGATTGGGATAACAGTATGTGTTTTTTAATGTTACCTTTTAAATTAAGAAAGTTTTTAAAAGTGTTTAATTTTAAAAGGGGGGTCACAGCCTAATAAATTTTGTAAATAATTTCCCTTATATCACATATGGCTGTGACTTTCAAATGTTAGCATATGTAAGGACACTGGGAGTGCTTGGTGTAAATCACAAGATGGACAATTTGCCTTTCTGAGAAGTTCCCAGCTGGTGCTGAACCACATTTTGAGACCCACTTATCCAACTAGAGAATAGGAAAAAAGGGACATGATACTCCTAGGATTCTGGCAGCTGTAGCATTCTATATAAGGATTATAACTGATCAGCTCATCTAGACATGTCACATTGAAAGACCTGGCAATACATTTACCCCATATTTTAAAAACAAAAGTAAATGCTTCAAAATTATATTGAGTCATTCATAGAATTACCTTACTTCATCTTCTTCCCAGATTTTGTGAATCCACATAAATTTGACATAATATTCATTAATTTATTATGCATTTACATGATTCCAGATTGTCATTTGAATCATTTCATGGATTTTCTAGCAACTATTCTTTTCTCTGAACTACAAAGCAGAATTGAAAAAAAAATGTTGAGTACTTTTCCTTGAACTTAATGGGTATGATTAGGCATGAGATCTAATAGCAATAAATAACTTTCACAATTATAAACTTGAACTAGAGAGCATATTATGTTATTTTGCCATGTCTGTAAGGTGACTTGTTTCAGAGTTTTTAGTAAACAGTAATGTATTTGTGCTTGCTGTGATTCCATGTCACCCTCACATCTTTGGATTCTACACTGACTCACGCTTAACAAAGTTAGTCTGCTACCACTGGTAGATGGTTTATGTTCTTAACTCGTGAGGAGGAAAGAGCTTAGTGGAAATGAAAATTTTATTTTGCAATAGCTAAATCAAATTGAATATAATGTAAACAATTAAGGTACAAACAGTTGATACAATATTTCAATTTTAGGGCACAGAAAAGGGATTAAATCATCTTGCAAAGAAAGAAAAGTGATGTAATGTTAATATTATCTGAGTCTTATGAATGACATGATCAAAATCTTAATAATGACATATGTAAATTTTATGTATGAAATTAAGGATTAACATAGGTATTAAATACAATGTGAACTATGTAAACTGGGTCCTATTCAAGCACCAAATAATTGGGAATTATTGTATGTACAAAGTGCATACAGTACTGTATGTACAAAGTGCAAATCCTCATGCCACCATATCAGATGCTATAAGGAAAATCTGGGAAATAAATTGGGATCTCAAAAATGTTAAGTGTTTCGGCCAGTGTTACATGTAAATAAATAGTATATGTTAGGATATTGTTAATTACATTTATTTTCATTTTTGACTCAAATCTAAAAGTTATTTATCTGAAATTTCAGAGAAAATATTATTTTTTAAAAAGTTAGACAGTCTTCTTGTATTTAATCTGGAGAGCTTTGTGATGCAGGGTGCAAACCACTTAACTCTTCCTTCGATGTTCCACTCACTCTGCCTGAGAACCACCAACAAAAGTGCTTGGGGCTCAAACCCAGAGGTTGAACAAAACCTATTTATATCATGATCATATATTAACAGGGTATTGTCTCTCACTTAAAAAATAGTACAAAAAACACCTTTTTTTTAAGAATTCTTATAGGCAACATCATTTATGAGCTTTTTGGATACTTGAATGCACGTGTACTTTTCATATACAAAAGGTTTTTCATGCTATGTAGTTGAAGGTGACATTGTTGACAGCTAACCAGACATGATAATGTTCAGACTGAATGTTAAGATCACTGATTGGTAGAGTGACTTGATGGGGAATGACAGGCTGTATACTTGTGTTTTTCTGAGCATTTTTGATCAGCCTTTCCTTACCACAGCTCATGTTCTAATGATCATTGCAGGATGAAGTGGCACAGCCACTGAACCTATCAGCTAAACCCAAGACCTCTGATGGCAAATCACCCACATCACCCACCTCTCCCCATATGCCAGCTCTGAGAATAAACAGTGGGGCAGGCCCCCTCAAAGCCTCTGTCCCTGCAGCATTAGCTAGTCCTTCAGCCAGAGTTAGCACAATAGGTAAGTTCTGTTTCTTTTGTTCTTGATAATTTTCGGTTTATAGCAATTGAATGGAATCTTTTGTGGCAAATCACGTATACCCTGTGCATGGCTTTAATTCCAAAGGAGAGTTTCAGTTTGATGAACCTCATAGATGTGTTTTAAACATGCCAATGAAATTTATAACTGAAGTACAAGTTATAATGACCCTGAAAATTGTATTGAACTGGTTATGTTTATTGACGTTAAAGATATTCTAAGACATTAAGTTTATTTTTAAAGATCTAGATTACAGTTTTTCCAGAATGTTGTTAGATGACTTGCCTTCACCATCACTGAAGTTATGTCCATTTTTGTGATGAGTACAAAGTATATATGATGATGAAATACATTTTGTCTGCATCCACAGTCTCCTGTCAGGATGTGAACTTTCTTCCATTCCTTATTGCTTGATGTGTACTTGAAAACACCAGCGTATTACAAAAAAGTGGAAGCTTCAGTTTTCATAATTGTTATTTGATAAATGCTTTGTAAGTTAAAATTTTTTATCTAGTAATTTTAATTTTACTAACACAAAATAGGCTATAAATGTTTGCACCACCTACCTTCACTGATATATCTGCTGTTTGCACATAATTATATGGAAGCTGGCGCAGACCAGCTCTAGCTGGGGAAAATGAGAACAGGTCAGTTGTAGCAAGTGTTACTCCAGAGCGCCAGTCCCACCCTGTAGTCAGAGAGGAGAGTGCTGAATTCTATTTGGGAAAGATTCCAAAGACCAAGTGAAGAGGTCTGAATTCAGATGTAGCTTTGAAGAAGAGATATGTTGTAAGGCATTATAGGCTATATCGGGGGAAGGGGGGATGGAATAAAATAGCCTCTTTTTGATGCACTGATTTGGCTGAAATATAAATTGAGTGTGGAGTGGAAAGTGATCACAGCTAAAACAGAAAGGGGCAGATGGAATCTGATTGAATGCTATCCTAAGATATTTTGACTTTTTCTCCTGACAGCAATATGATCAGAATTCTCAGAAGACTATTGGCAGCAGAAAGAAATGGGAATCAGGGAAACCATTGTTTTAGAGTAGGACATGAATGAGTTGCAAGAAATGGAAATACAAGAAATGATAAAGCAGAGACTAGATTGAAGAGGTATTATTGAGGAAGAACCGGTATAACTTGCTCACTATATAAAGTAACCTGGTAAACTTCAAGTTGGAATCAAAGGATTCTAGGATTCTGTATATACAGAATAAGAATAGTGCATCCCTTAACCATGAAAGAACTAGAGTAGAAGTAGGTTTGGGGGAGATGAAAAGATTTAGTAGGAGTTTAACTTGAACCACAGGGCACCATGTAAGTAGAAATATCCAAGGGAAACCTGTAAATATGTCTGATGTGTAAAAGAAGGGATAGATTTGTAAATGTGGAAATTATTCTGTAATAGGCTGTTGAAGCCACAAGAGCATTTGCTCACTGAAAAAAAGGGTGTGTGTGGAAAGAGGTGGTATGAAGAACCATAGTTACCAGTAGTCTGTTGCTCTGTAACAGATTAACCTAAACAATCAACATTTATTATAACACAGTTTGCAAGGATTGCGAATCTGAAAGCATTTTAAATAGGTGGGTCTGACCCTAATATCTATATGATTGCAGTCAGGATGGTTGCCAGTCATCTACCTGTTACTTCACTGGGGTTGGAAGACTCTTGTCCAAGATGACTCATTTATGTGCTATTGACTGGAGATTCCAGTTCTTGGCCATGTGAGTTTTTCCATAGGGATACTCAGAAAATAACAGCCACCATCTCCCAGAGCAGATAGTCCAAGAATGAGAGCAAGCCATGGTGCTTTCTGTGGCCTGGTTTCCAAATTCACACACAGTTAATTCTGCTTTATTATTTTTATGATAATAGCATCACTAAGTACAGCCCAACTCAGAGAAAGGAGAATTAGGCTCCAACTCTGAAAAAGTTCTTTTTACATGTTTTAAAACCCACCACACATTTTCAGGAGGAAAATTGATAAAAAGCAAGTGAGTATCTTAGAGTAAGCTTGAAGATAGGACAAGGTCATGCTAGCCTAGGAAAAATGAAAGTTTCAAAAAGGAGGGGTTATTTAATGGTATCATTCTATCGAAAAGTTAGAATATGAGAAAAACTTTAGGATTTAGTTGGTGTTCATGGATAGGTAGACTGACAGATTTTAGTAGAATAGTTTAGCAGAAATCTGAACATCAGAGTTGCAGAATATGAAGACTAAAGGGGCAGTTGATATATAGACTATCCTTGTAGGGATGTTGTTTTGAGATTGCTGAATAGTGACTGATTTTAGAATATGAAAATTGGATAGATGGATGGATGGATGAATGGATGGAAAGCTAGAATCTGTCTAAATCTATTCAGTCTATCAATATCGATCTCTCTACCTATATATAGGTCTGTATTTGTCTATGATGAGATGAGGAAGAAGAGTTGGAGAAATGTATAGGTATGAAAAAAAAAAAATACCGGGTCATCATAAACTGAGAGAAGAGATGTTTCAAAAGGATTAGCCTTGGAAAACAGAAAAGCACTTTCCTTTTTCTGAGACTGAAGGAAATAAAGAAAATGGTAAAATTGCAGATAAATTGTGAGATGGGCAGAAAGAAAACTGGAGGAGTGTATTTCAAATGTTCCAATCTCCACAAAGTGAAATCCAGATTATTTGCTAACAGGAAGTCAGTGTGGGGCAGTGGGGCTGTAGTGAGAAGAGAAACAGGAGAAAGTTAATTTTTGAGAAGTTTAAGAATGGCTTGGGTTAGAGGTGTGCCTTGAATCAATATGCAGTGTTCTTACTCTCAATTATCCTGCTCAACATCCTAAAAGGACAGAAGGATAGAATATACTTTTGTTTCCCATGCACATGGAAGAAAAATAATTTCTATAAGAATAATTCACTTCCATAATATACATGAAGGATCATAAATATCAGTGTTGGTATAGGAGCGCCTTTTGTATTACTGTCAGTAGAATAAGAACATTTAAGAAAATAACCAATATATTTGCACTTTTACCATAGGAAAAATTTTTACTTCAGCATCCGCAGCTTAAGTATGACAAAATATTTTAGGAAGGGAGGAATGTATTTAATCACATTTATCATTTGATTTTCTCCACTGCTGATACTTTGTTTTGTTTTTTTTTTTTTCCTGAAAAGTTCCTTCATCACATACACATACCTCGTATTTTCCCAGGATTTAAGGCCGCTACAATTTACTTTTCTCTTTTCAACAAATGCAGATGTTGAAAGCTGAAACCCTAATGAGTAATAATGTAGTTGGATAAAAGCTGTGAGCATTAATGGTATTGTAAAGGTCACCCTGAAATAAGAATTAATGTGTTATGCCATTAATAAAGCACAGGAAACTGTGAACAAAGATAACTTAAGTTATTGTTAATGACATGGGGCTCTTTGCTATATGTCTATTAGCTACAAATATAGAAGTGAGTTTTTGAGGCTGGTGGCCAGTATCACAGCATATTCTATAAGAATACCTTTGATATGGCACACAAATGACAGGCAGCTCCGCAGAAAGGAGCCTTCAGTGTTGCAAACAGTTCAGGGAAGAATGATGGATAATTTTAGAATCTTTTGACCAGATGTTATCTTTCCTTTATTGGCCTTTTCCATCTATGTTGTACATATGTATAGGACAAGAGTAAGTTGCAAAAAATAGAAATACATTTTTTTCAAAGCATTTTAATCCATTTTCAGTGCAGCTAATTTTAGAATTCCAGATCCTTAACTAGATGGAGCAGATATCCATATCATCTATTCAAAAATGTTGCTCATCAGTAACAGGGGCCTAAAGTGGCTAAGTGCATATGCAGGGATTTTGAACAAGTTCTTGTCCCAGCAGCAATAGTGCTGTAGTTCTGGGTTTCTTAGCTCCATTTTAATTTCAAGAAAACAAATGTAGGTGGAGGTGTAGTAATTTCCCTTAGTGGAGGTTAAGACCTTATTTCATAGTCTCAGGGATGACAAGCTTCTGTTTAGTTGCTGCCTATGAAACCTCTGCAATAATTGCTCTTCTCAGTCATTTATCCTTTCTCTCATTCATCCAGTAACTGAGTATTAAGTATCTTGTCTGTATCATACATTTTGCCAAGTGTGGAAGACAGGCAGATGAAGTCTTATGTTGAGGCTTTAGATGCCTGCAGTCTTTGCTTGACCATGTCTTTGGAAGATACTGGAACATACTGTTCCCTTGATTCTTCAGGGGAAAATGCCATCGATGCACACTGATTCGTAAAATGAAGGAAAATATTTTCAAATCCATTAATTTGATACTTCATAACTTGCTAATTTAAAATATGACTTGAAAGAGGATGTTACCTTGATATTTCATTTTAGTTTACATTTTTAGGGAGAAAAACTTCTATGAAGGTTAGTGATTACACAAAAATATTGTTACGGTTTCATAGAAAGCCATTGGGTTACCAGAAGTTAGATGTTTTATTTGACATCTGGCAATTAATATTTGCATAGCACTTTTACACTTTAGGGTTTATTATTTGATTAATTCTTATGAACTTTCTTAGATAAAGACATGGCTACATGTTGGTCTGCCAAAAACTGTGATGATAATTGACTTTAAAAATGGAAAAAAAAAATTAGTATTTGTGGAAAATAACTTGAAAGACATATGCCCTTACTTCTATTTGTAGTTAAAAGGCCTATGTAAAACAGGCATGTAGCAAAGAAGAATTTGTGTTACCCTGATAGCATCTGTTTCAGCACATGGATTTCAGCAAATCCGTGTCATGATTGGCAAATACTGAGATGAAGACATAGATCATCTATGAACTAGGAATCATGAAAGTGGATACTTTCAACTTAGAAATGTCCACTTATTTCTTAAAGACTCTGCCATGAGCCAAAGGAATGAAAGACTGAAAGAAAAAAAAAATCTCACTAATGTAAAAGACAAACAGAAAAATGCAAGGCAGTGTGACAGCACAAGCACACACCAGGTTCG